AAATGCTCGAGACACTATGTGAAGGGTACCGTCTCTTCCGGGGTGTCCAGTAATACTTGAGTCATGGGAACGTTGTATGATCGTTGTTCTCAGTGGCTCCCAATTTGGAACCCATAGCGCACCTCGTCGTGTTAACGCGCCTCTGTCATCTAGGCTACAATCTGTCATTTGAACCCCTAATTTAAGGTCTATAGGTAAAGTAGACTGGCCTGCAGCGACTGATGCATGAATACTGTGAAAAGCTTGGTCTTTTTCTAGAGCTTCGTCCCACAAAGAAGCAATTTCCTTATCTTCAAATAATTTTTTGCCGCTGGGCATGATATTCTGGTCAGTTTCAATATGTTTCAAGGTCATATCCGGAAAGTCTACAATGTTTATTGTATTTAAGATGAATTCTTCTGGTGAAGACGTGCTTAAATTATTTTTGAACAACTGGATATTGCGGCCTTGTAACCGCTCGTCCGACGTATCCCGCGGGGCTTCTTGTGCCCGCCGCGAAAGAAAGTCTGGTTTACCGGACTGGGAGCCAGGCCGGAATACAATTTTGAAGTTAAACCTTGCCAAGGTCTCGGCCCATCTCACTTGACGTTCGCTAAGTTGTCTTGAAGTTGTGAAATATCGTAAATTTTGATGGTCTGAGATAACGGTTAAAGGATTTTCAACGCTTCGAAGCTCACCATCAAAATGGCGCATTGTTGTTATAATAGCGAGCAGTTCTTTATCATGAATGTTATAGTTTGATTCTGCTGGAGTCAATTTACGTGAAAAGTAACCTACTGGTCTTAGACGATTTTTTTCGTCAATTTGAGAAAGAACCCCACTGATAGCATAGCCAGAGGCATCTGCTTCCAAATAGGTTTCTTTCTCGGCTGAAAAAAGCGCTAATAATGGTGCTGAGGATAGCATAGACTTAAGCTTTTCGAATGCATCTTTTTCTTTCGTGTCCCAGCTCCAGCGGGTTTGTTTCGATGTGAGACTGATCAATGGCTGGGCAATGGCCGAAAATTTTGGAATAAACTCTCGGTAAAAATTTGCGAAACCGAGAAAAGAGCGGGTTTCAGAAACTGTCGTTGGTTCCTCCCAGTTTTTGATGGCTTCTATTTTGGCTGGATCAACTGTAACACCCTCGCCAGCCTTGATTACGAACCCAAGATATTTGACTTCAGACGTGGCAAAGGTACATTTGTTGATGTCTAACCGTAAGCCAGATTCTTCGAGTCGTCTGATAACTTCTTCAACCTTTTTATAATGGTCGGATAAATCACCATCAGAATAGATGATAACATCATCCAGATAGGCTGAACAGTATTCGTCCAAAATATCTTGTAACACAGCATTTATGTAACGTTGAAAAGTAGCTGGTCCGCCGCATAATCCAAATGGCATGACAAGCCACTCGTATTGTCCATACCTTGTTCGAAACGCTGTTTTCCATTCATCGCCAGGTCGAATACGTAGGCGATGGAATGCAGTACAGACGTCAAGTTTTGTGAAGTATTGGGCTTTGGAGAGTTGCTGAAGTGTTTCTTTGATGAGCGGCAACGGGTATCTGTCCCTTTTTGTTATCGAATTGAGGCCACGATAATCAACACAGAATCGAAGACCTCCGCCCGGTTTTTTTGCGAATAGTACCGGTGCATTTGCAGGAGAATTGCTGGCGCGAATCCATCCTTTACGTAAGTAATCTGTAAGAGTTTTACGGAGAACGAGGAGCTCATCTCGTGACATGCCATAAAGTGGACCTGAGGGGGGTTCCTTAGGTTTGCCTTCATCGTCTAGATCAAGGTTTATAGAATGGTCCCATCCTGGCTTAGATTCTGGGAGGATTCCATCTTCATCAGCTAGAAAGTTCTTTGCTAAATGTCGAAGCTGCTGAGTTAGTTGATTTGATATTTCTTCCACCGTTTGCTTGACCGCTGAGTTATCTAATTTTTTCAAGGCCTTGTTGATATCTGCTATAGTGATGGAGAATAAATGTAGATGTTTATTTGCTTTTCTTCCACGACGGATTTCCGCGGCAAATATTGAAGCTGTAACGTTTTTTGCTTGACGTAGTTGGTGCATAGAGCCTGATAACTCATCCCGTTCCATCCATCCAGACTCCTTGACTTTTATTGCGTTTGCACCACTTCCTAGAGTGAGAAACTTCTTACCTGCTTCATATGTTACATTGTTACGCTCGGCCCAACCTTTGCCGAGGATTATATTATATTGTAAGTTTGCTACTATGTAGCCAAATACTCTTTCAGCTCTACCGTCAATGTCAAGTGTAGCCCAATTCATTTCGGTAATGGGAATTTGAGGTCCATCTTTGGCGAGCTTTAGAGATCTGTGGGTGACTGGAAGGCGTGGTAAGTGTGCCTGGTCTGCAAAACTACGATCAAAAACTGCGTAGGGTAGGCATCCTGTGTCAAAGAGTGCGGTGGAATAACAAGTAGAATTTATTAAAATATCAATTAAAAATGGACTACTATTCAACCTTTCAACAGCCTCCCTAATTTCGCTAGCAGGTGGTATTTGATCTAGTAGTTTCCCAAACACACCACCATTCCCCTGAACACGACTTCGTACAGGGGCTGCTAGTTTTCCGACTCGCTTATTGATGCAGAAGCTATCCTTAGATTGGACATTTCTGAGCGAAAACCTTTAAACTTGCATTCTCTAAAACGGTGCGATGGAAATACATTGCATCGAATACATCGACCTGATTTGAGACGCTGATGGCGTTCTTCCTCGGAACAATGAGGGGCATTTGGACGTTTATCTAGTGGCCGAGCCTGTCCAAACCCTTTGGAATTGTTTCCATTATTTATAGCTGATATAACTGTAGAAACAATAGAAATAATGTCAGTCCCTGACATTTTTATATCTCCCTCACGGTCACGTATTGGAGAGTTTACGCTGGGTTTTGGTGATTGTGATTGTAATTGTGTTTCTGTTTGGTTGACTATTTGCTTTCGTAGTTGCTCTTGAATGTTTAGAGGAAGGTCTCCGATCGCATTTTCGGTGTAGGTTTCTCCAGTGTCATCTACACTCTTAGCCTGAAATTCTGGCAAGGATTCCCAATTAGTTGCTAAAGTCGATAGTTGTTCGACGTATTTTTCATAGTTCAGCTTTTCTAGATCTGTCTGGTTTGCTGCAGCCCGGCGTAGATACGGAGCAATGGCCTCAGATAGGGTGTGGATTCGAGAAACTCCAATAGGAGCAAGTTCACCTGAATTGCTGAGATAACCTTCGAAAGTGTGAAGGAACTTTGCGAAAGGTTGCGCGTTTCCTTGTCTCACAGAGTAAAGGAGGCGTCGATTTCGAGCTTCACGGTCCCTATCAACGAAGTGCCGGTCGAATTCGTCGAGAAGTGAACTTGAGTAAAATTCTTTAGCTTTAACTTGTTTCTCAAAGAAAGGCCCCACTCGGCTTCTGTGCTCCGCTGGTAACGTCTGCATAAGTGCAAGGCAGACGCCTCTTTCACCACCAAAACCCTTGATGATTGCTGGGTCCTCCGCTGCTACTCGCCACATGACTGAGCATAAAGAATATTGATCAGGTGTTCCATCCCAAGTTGTGAACTTGTGCTGTACTGCGTCGGTTTGGTTTGTCATTGTGGCTTTAATATTTCTGGTTTCGTGTTTAGTTGTTGCGATTTTTGATTCAGGCGTCTGTGGCTCTGGTTCCAGGGCAGGTCTGTGAGACTCTGTATTTGCACTTGAGGCGTCGATTTCTATCGCAGAAATTTCACGGAGAATACCTTCAAGGTTAAAATTGTCGTCACTACTCATATAATTGCGAGACGTCGCTGATTACAAGTGGTTTAGACTAAAATGGAGATTACAATCAATGTGATAGCATGAGGGTCAGGAAAGACTCTGACTAAAAGGCAAAACAATAATATGATTGTAATCTATGAGGAGAGAAAGACATGGTGGCTAACGCAATACTATATACACATAAAAGTGGTTCCTCACTGGTCCAAGCGTACATTGTAGCACGTGATTAGTGTCCTATGACATCGGATAGCCACAGGGTTTTCACGCTTTTCCCTGTAGTGGGTATGCACGGAAGAGGTTATACGCCGTAAGGGTTAATCTCGAGTGGTATCTGCAAATGGAATCTGAGTGTAAGTGTTCTAAACGTCAAATTGAGTCATCCTACTTACAATATATATCTTCCGATTAAATCTGCATGGGCCTCAAGGCGCCAAATCAGGATAACTGAATAATTTATCAATTAATCTATATCACTATCAATTAGGTAAATTCTGGGCAAAGCCTCATCAAGTCTGCAAATTCGACCTAGTACATCCTTACTTTGATGACTATACTTCTCTTCAAAACAGTCTCTAGCCATAAATGTCCTCCATACATGCCCACAAGAATATTTATATCCATCGAAGGAAACAAAACGTTGCGTATATATCTGGGAGGTAGTTATCTAAGGTGGGCATGAGAGATATCAGGAATATTTTACAAGATGATGCAGAGATAGGTACAATCTCCAAGGGGGTATATTTTGAACTTTTGGCAGCAAGTTGTACAAATTGAGCTTTGTGCGTGCGAAGACTTATTAAATTTGCGTCAGATTTCAATTGCGTATGCAGCTATCTAGCTATGACACAGTTTCAAAAAAAAAGATTAAACAGCAGATGACTCAATATAAAATAAGAGCACTCACGCCTCGGATTTCATTTGCAAGTACCACTGCGAAGTTACGGTGGCTTTATCTTCACCCCAAGGCAACCCTCATTCGTGAATAACCACCCAGGGGAACGTCTCAAAAGCCCTGAGTTATCCAAACATGCCCCTATCAACTATCTCCTTACCTTCGCGTGAACTGTTATCTTAGCTGTCTCTTTTCCAAGTGGAGTAGGTGCCCAGGCTACTCAAACTATACTAAGGAACACCGCTAGGTGGCGTACAACGACACCTTCCATCGTTAGCTTGTGTTTAAAGTGTCAGCTGCACCCTATGAATAGACTTTGAAAGCGCACTTGAAAAGGTGTATTTCTAGAGCGATGTACCTGGGCTGACCTTTCTCTGTAGCCTGCGAATATCATGGAGAGGAAGATTTAAACATAGTTGGAATTTTCTCAAGATACCATCGCGTACTTCAGCTCGGTACAAACCGTAGACATTCACATTGGTATCATGGCCTATCGCGAACGCATTCATGAGGCCTACATCTGTAAAATTAGCAGATTTTTCGCTTAGTTTATCAAGATTATTTACTGTTGGCATGGGTTTCTGGAGTTCTCACGGGCCAGAAACGTAATCCATCCTCTTTTACGATGGGAAAATTGAATACTTTCCCACCCTTATTCGTTGACCACTGTTTCAAGGCGAACTCTATATAAAGCCATATGGTTTTGTATTTGAACCTATGTCCAAAGCAAGTTTCGGGCCAAAACATTTCTGACATTCTCTCCATGTTTAATACAGAGAATGGGCTATAAATTGTGTCGGATGAAGCCGATGATAGATCCCATACGATTGCACATTTCGCTTCCTTGTCTTTTAAGTTAATTATTCCTTTGAATTGACGACTTTTCATGTCAAAAACAACACGACAATGACCTTGCGAGCCTAGCGAAGGGACGTTAGAGTTTTGTAGCAACCAGTTTTGAGGAGTTAAAATACCAGAACCAGGTTTGCTAGATGAACTATAATGAAGAGGGTAAAGGCGAAGATCATCTCCGATGAATTGATCGCCACGATATTCTTCAAAGCAAATTGCTCTATCTTTGGCCTCCAGTGCGCTTTGAAAATAATAATTTGTGTCTATATCATTTCCACTCTTTATCATGGATAGCGGAAAATATTTGGAGCCACATTTATAGCCAAATCTAGGATAGGCTAGACTCCAATATTCATCCAAAAGTCTACTTTCGATATTTCCTTCGGTATTTCCCTCGATATTAGAGCTGCGTACTGGTTTACATTTCCCGAAACTGACTTCGTTATTGTGCTGCTTGGAGTTGATAATCACCATACCCATGATTTGACCTCTAATATTGCTGATGAGGCGAAATTTCCCTGGATTACCTGGTCCCTGGCTCAGTTGTAATCTTCGTATACATAAAGGAATACCTTTGGGCTTCATTTACCACAAGTAAAAAAATTCTCATTGGGCTTAGCAGGCCACGAGAGAAGAATGTCTGATCTTACATTAAAGAGACGTGTATCTTCAAATAATTTCGGAAATCTTTGGAAATATTTTTCATAGAAAAATGTGTCAATCATTTTATTTGTTGCTTGCCGTGCATACTCGATCGAAAAAAAAATATTTTCACATACGAAGCCATCGGCTCCATCTGGAAGGTACATGTCTGAGTATGGTGTATCTATACATTTGACTTGATGAATTAACCCAAATATTAAGAGGGAGATGCTGAACTTACTCCACATCTTGACCAAACTATCAGATCGAAAAGTCAAATCGTGAAATGAGTAGTGTCAAAAATGTGGCGCTGAGTGTTCGTGTTAGAAATCTAACTTCTTAAGATGCATTTTTCGGTTTCTGCAGAACTACAGTAACAGATTAATTTTGGTTAGTCACGTAACAATGTAGAGACCGGCAAGTGACCGATTTGAACTAGCTGAATCAATAGATTAAGCATTCGAGTCAGGCCATAAGAGTTCCTACGTATTTATGGAATTAGCAGCAAATCACCCACTTCACTCCTCAGTGGATTACCAGCCGCCCGAATATGCCTGGTTTTTCGTTCAGCAAGGATTATGGTTTGGCCTTACAAGATCTAGCTCAAGGATGGTTTTTATGCCCATACTGTAATCTATGGCTTCTAATTTTGAAGTCCCGAATCTAATCTTAGATGATCTTCATTTGATTTGAATGGGAGACTAAGACCAAAATCTATTTTATCGTGGCTCTTAAGAACGTGTCTCAAGTGGCTAGGTATGTAGTCTCTTTTTTCTGATATCATTAAACTTCATCTAGCTATCTAGCCATGACAGACAATCAGTGCTTTGAATATATGTTGGATAACTCTGTTATCGTTTGGTGCTTCCATATCTTGGATTTCATTTGTAAATACCACTTCAATTAGGGATACAGCCTGCCTATATGGAAGAAGAGTCAGGTGTCAATGGGGCAAAGGCGTTGGGCTTGGATTGATGTGGATTTCACAATTATTGTCGCTTATGTAAAGGCAAAGGCAGATGGACCTCTGATGTTTCATATTAAATCCATGTATCACTTCATGTTCGGCCCTCCAAGCTCAGCATGCCTAAACTATCTCAAATCTCATCCGAGATATGAAAGAGTCGAGATTGTATTACGTGTGCGTTGAGGAGTCAGTCATTAGCCTTGGCGCCTAATGGAACTATCTCGTTGGAATATCTCCTTTTGTCGGTTTATCTAAGACGTAAAAGTAGATGTGTCATTATGTGGGGATCACATGATGACTTCAGCATGGATGCGCTAGCCAGGATCCACAGTATGGCTGTGAACACCGGTTAGCCCAGTTTTAATTAAAGTACCCGACGTCAGACACAACTCCATCTTAAAATCTTCCATTATCAGAGCAAATTAAATTTGTAAATTCAAGCCTGTTCTCTAAGCAGAGGATATGGCCCCTCCGGCTCGCGGCAGAAAGCGCGAGGTGCCCGAGGCACTGGATGCAAAGCATCGCATTCAGAAACACGCAAGCAACTCTGGAGGGGGCAGTTAAGTGATGGCATTGCCACCCGCTCAAATTCGAAGCTGAACGCAGCAATCTCTGGATTCGCTGTTTCTCGAGGACTTCAGGCATTAGTGCCCCAAAATGCCTTCCCGACACTCACCAGGTCTTGAGTCCTAGGGACAAGGACACGATCGAAGAAGATCAGTTGACAGATAATGCATTTCCTGAAAGTACAATCCCCACGCAGCAAATAGATGCTGACAAAGAGGAAACCAGCGTGACCCCAATGGACACAGAAAACAGCGAGCCCGCAGGGAGCTACAGTACTTCCCTCATGTCAAAAGCTAGAGGTTTACTTAATCTAGTTGCACCGTACCTTGAAGACATGGAAAAGGAATGCCCGGGAGCAGGTGCAGACTTCTTATCACTTATCTCAGAGGGGGTATCACGAGCCATTGGAGGACAGAAGATTTATAAGAGCTCAATGAACGAATAAGAGCAAAAGCCCTCCACTCAAAGTGACAACAAGAGGACATGAGCCTCCAAAGCGGCTGCAGGGGTCTCGACCGGAACAAACATTGATGTACGTCGGTCCATGACAAGACCGACGCCTCCCCAGAATCAGAGCAAAGAAGACAAAAGGATCATGATTCGGCTAGATCGAGAACACGAAGCTCGAAAAGCAGACCCGTTTTTACTCCGCCAACAAGTCCAAAGGCTGATCCCCGACTCATCACTTGTTGTTGACGCATGGCAGGTTCCGGACGGCGTGGCAGTACTTGCCGCATCGCCGGCAAAAGCAGCTAGTATTTTACAGCATAGTGAAGCCATTGCTGCAAGATTTGGTAATGCTACGGTGGAAAGACAAGAAACTTGGACGACATTTGTCGTCGGCCCTATTCCAAAGAAAGATAACACACTAGACGGAGGCTATAACCCATTTGAAGGGCTTTTACTAGAGGAGCCGGCGATTCGAGCTATAAAAGATGACACTCCTATTCGACACCTAGCCTGGACACGTCGGTCTACAGACTCTCTGAGCCCGTTTGGGCACATCAAAATTCATGTTCCTGAGGCAAGGGCACACAAAGTGCCATCCCGGATGCAGCTTTTCGGACAAGCATCAAGCGTCTAACGAGTTTCGAACAAGCAGCTATTGCGCACCTGCAATAAATGTTTTGGCTTCTACGCCACGAAAACCTGCGCCCGACAATTTAAATGCGCCTCTTGCGGAATAGATTCTCACGAAGGTCCATGCTCATAACAAATACAGTGCCTAAATTCCCGTGGGCCTCACGGATCTACTTATACCTCATACCCGGCTCGCCCACGCAGAGATCATGGTGTATTCGTTCGCCCAACAGGGGCACAGTTGCGACATATAAGCGCCGCTGGACGCAGAGAGCTTGCCAATACTTTGAGACATACTCAGGAATCGGCCGAGAGCGGTGCCGAGACCCTCACTGAACTCAACCCTGCCCATTAAATATGGTCAGAAGACAGAAAAATCTAAAAATCAGACCAATCCGAATCATGCAAGTAAATGTTGGAAGAGGAGCTTACGCGCACAATATGGCTCTCCAGCTCGCACACGAAAATAATATTGACGCTCTACTCAAACAAGAACCTTGGACATTAAAAGATCTAACAGCGAAAAGGTCAATTTCACACCCAAAATTTGCGCTTTTCTCACCGCTAGACGAATGGCATACTCGCCCCAGAGTTCTAACCTACATTAGCAGTTCACAAGGACTGCGCTCATACCAAAGTGCAATTAATACTTCTCCAGACCTACTGCAGGTGGTTATCTCCACCGGGCGTGGTCGGAAAATAGCTGTATGGAATGTGTACAACGCCCCAGCTGGGTCAATCAGAGCGGGAGAAGGCCTTGAAAGGTTAATCGAATCGACTGGTACTCCTGAATTTGTCGGTGGAGAATTTAATTTGCGACACCCAATCTGGGACTCGTATGCCACGTACACCCCTCAGGGGAGCGCAGACTTACTAGAATGGGCAAGAGAGAAAGAACTTATTCTCTTAAACCCAACGGAAATGTCGACACACAGGGGCGGCGGAACGTTAGATCTAGCTTTCTCCTCCCTAGCCGGAGCTAAATGTGAGATCCCTTCTGACCTTCACACTACATCCGACCACGAAAAAAAGGTGACCACCTTAACTGGTGAATACAATGCGAATGAAAATAGTAAGAGGCGACTACGGTATGACTCAATTAACGAAGCTTTATTTACAACTCTATTGAGATGCCATAGCGATCCCCCAGATCTTTCGACAGTAGACGATATCGAAAAAGAGGCGGAAAATATTGTTAAAGTGATCCGAACGGCACTCCAGTCAGCCACCCTCGCGCCAGAGAGAAGAACCATGGCACCGTCTGGTGGAATAAAGATTGTAAGCTCGCAGCTCGTAGGTACTACGCAGCAAGACGGAAGGGAAAGCATGAATTCGAACGAAAAGATCTCCAAAATGCCGTCAGACGTACGAAGAGAGAGTACTGGACTACAAGAATCGAAAAATCGGAGTCTCTCCCAGAAGTATTTAAGATTGTGAATTGGCACAACACTCCGCCCAAGTATGAGACACTACCACTAAAGGGACCAGATGGGGAGCCCAAAATCCAGAACCCGAAAGAAAAAGCAGCACTACTCCATAGAGTGCTCCTCTCCCGACATCTGGAGGCAACAGATATCCCAGAAGAAACCCCTTCGGTAGCCTCGAGGCGTATTCCTTGGCAACCATTCTCTGAAGTAGAATCGTTCCGGGCAACCTGTCAGGTATCTTCAACCTCACCAGGGGAGGATGAAATTACGGCTCCTATTATTCGACTCTCATGGCCAATATTAGGAGAGCGGATAACTAGGCTTTTCAATAAATGCGCAGTACACAGGGTACATCCAAAGATATTCAAGCGCGCACACATTGTTATTTTGCCAAAATCTGGAAAACGGGATCGAACACTACATAAATCATACCGACCTATCGCTCTTCTTTCCTGTCTTGGAAAAGGACTTGAACGGCTCTTCGCACGGCGTCTCTCTTTCTGCTCCTTGAAGTTTGATATCCTAGGCAGGGACCAGTGTAGTGCAATAAGCCGACGGTCAGCTACGGATCTAACGACAGCATTGGTATGTGATGTTAATGAAGCACTCCGCAAGGGGAAAATTGCAGGTATGGTGACGGTTGATGTGAAAGGGGCCTTCGATGGGGTGCTGCGAAACCGACTCCTTTTTCGACTGAGGACTCAGGGATGGCCTGAGAACGTAGTGCAATGGGTAAGCTCCTTCTTTCAAAACCGGTCGGCAAGAATCAGACTCGATCGATAAGTATCAGACCCTTTTCAGATTCTATGTGGTCTACCACATGGATCTCCAACATCGCCCATTCTATTTCTTCTCTATGTAGAACTAGTCATGCGCCTTGCACGCGGATGTTTCGGCTATACAGATGATATCGCAATGTTCGAAACAGGCCCGAATCTTGAGGAATGCAGTCAGAGACTACAGTTACGACTGACAAAAACTCTACAATGGGGTAGGGACAACGGTATTCAGTTTGAAACAACGAAGACTGAGCTCCAATATTTTCATAATAAGAGAAAATATCAAGAACCTCCCTTAATGATGGAGGACACCTTAGTTCTTCCGAATGATCACACACGCTGGCTTGAGATAGTTTTTGATAGGAAGCTATCATTCAAGGAACATATACGGCGAGCCTGCCAGCGCTGTCGAGTTGTCACCGACCATGTCAAGAGACTATATAACACTGTGAAAGGTGCCCAACCCGCTCTTCTGCGGCAAACCTTCCAAGTTATAGCTTTTGCATCACTTTTCTACGGAGCTGAAACGTGGTATGGACCAAAAACTTCCAAGTGGGCAATAGATCAAGTCCAAAGAGCAGTTAATAGAGCAGCTCGAGCTGTATTACCAGTGTATAAAACTACCCCTGTCCCAGCACTTTTGCGGGAAACTGGATGGGCTCCAGCTACTATCTGGCTAGAAAGAATACACGATCGCTTTGTAACTAGAGTTGCCTCAGCTGACCCTAAGCACCCCTTACCAAGCCGTTGGAATACAAAACATCTCCAATGGATTAGGAGCCGCCAAAAAGTCGAACTGTCGCTGGATACTATCACCCCCACTTGGCTTAGTCTTGATAGGAATAAAGCAAAGGAAGAGATTGGGGCTATCGGCCGAGAAAAAGGTCTGATGGAATATCGAAATTGGGAGCAAAGCTAGAGAGACAATTTGTTAGATCATTTCATATATTCAGATGGGGCAATGAATAAGGAAGGAGGTGCAGGCAGTGCGTATTGCATCTACCGGGGACCAAACTCAGAAGTTACAAATGCGAATATTCCCCTCGGTCGGACTGCAGAAGTATTTGATGCAGAAATTATCGGGGCAGTCGAGGGGCTAAAAGCAGCCATGGCACATCGTATGGCCAAATACGCTACAAATATTGTGGTATATCTGGATAATGAAGGAGCGGCACTACGATTGCACACTGGCTACCTAATCCCATCCAGCTCAGTCAAGATTGTAGAATTCAGGAACTGAGGAAAATTTGGGAGGGTAGAGTGCACTTTTCGAGAGAGGTAGAGGGGGCGGTGAAAGTACAATGGGTTCCGGGTCACGCAGGGATCAAAGGAAACGAGCGTGTAGACGTATTAGCTAGGGAGGCCTGCAGCGAAACAACGACACGGACAAAAGCTTCGATATACCGAGCCAAAAGCCTCATAAAGGAGCGGCACGAGAGTAGCATGATCCAATTTTGGAAGGATTACGCTCCGAGTAGATATAGGAGTCTGAAGATACCTATGACAGGACAAATGCCTGAGGAATTGCAGATTTTATCTCGGAAAAATCTCGCGTTACTCCTTGCTGCCCGCTCCGCTCACGGAGATTACGCCACGTATCACAGACGCTTCCAGCACCAAGACGCCAAGCTATTATGTATCTGTGGAGAAGAAAAGGCTCCGGAACATCCCTTTGCATGCAGGAAACTTGACCAAAGTAAAACTCCGAGACCATGTCCATCTCGGGGTAAGGAGGGGGACATCATGTGGATCCTCGGCACATCAACAGGGGTGAAAGAATTTGGAAAATGGTGCAACACGGCTCATCCATACGAACAACAAGTTCTCACAGTGTAGAAGCAAGATTAGTGGTGACATTGACAGGATTGCCTTGATACAACTGCACAAATTTGTAATTTAATCACAGTTTTTTTTTTAAAAAAAAAGGGGGGAGTACAAAGGAGTTAGGTATTGAGGAATTTACACGAATAGAGTGGCATAGAGCTCTACCTTGCATTAATATCGAGCATTAATTGCGAAATAAGGGAGGACACAGTAGTTTTTTTAGACGACAGAATTGTCCGATAGTAATAGGCTATGCGGACACGCCAAACGCCCATTCTTGGGCATAGAGGCCGGGTCATACCTGTGAGCCTACTTGGCGTTAAATAGAAAACAAACAAACAAACGCACAATTTTTGAGAGAATTCGAATTTTCGAATCTTCACCCTTTCCTCATCTCCATCCCTCTCGCGCTCGTCGCATTCCTTCAGTAAATTGTCATCGAGTCGCTGGCATATTAACCATGCCACCTGTTCGTAAAAAGCGTCCCAACGCCAAGTTGGACAACACGAGAGTCCGCCCGAGGGCTCTCGAAAAATTACCTGACCTTGCCCAGTCTCCAAAATGCGCGGAGATGAGCAAGGTCTCAACTAAAGGGGAGGAAAAAGCCCTCCCCGCCGTCACTGAGCCCGATACTGACGTGATCGGGTCGGTCGAAATTGTTGAGGAATTTCCCCAACCATCCTCTGTCCCTCACGGGATGGGAGAATCGTCAAAATCTTCTCCGACAGCGTCAAAACCGTCGGAAAACGCTGCAGTCAAAGCAGCGCCAAAACCAACATCGCAGCCAAAAGCTGACACAAAAGCAGAGTGTCCCCTAGAGCTTCGACCAATTTTCGAAGCTGAACAACGACGCGCCGCCGAAACAGCGGCAAATCTAGCCCTCTGTTCCGCCGCCATCTCTGGCGTCGAAGCCACCCTCCTCCCTTTGACAAACGGGTCAAACAGACAATTCGTAGACTCGATGAGAGTCTACC